GCTGGAGGGGGTGCTAGAAAGACGAGATTAGCCAGAGGCCACTCTGGCAGGAGTGGGTGGAGAAGCTTTAAAATAGGAATGTGTTTGATGGAGAAATGCCACTCAAGCCAACGGGAACCTTTAGGTAACACCCTAGAATACAATATTGATTTCTACAGGAGGAATGTTTTTAGAAGACAATGTTTAAAATATATTCCCTCACAGAACACAAAGAAATGAGGGTCAATGTTAAATAATGAGTATAAATAGGCAAGTCACAGAAAAAAGAAGAAATGAAAAAAAAACCAGATAAATATGCTGGAAAACTAGAAATCAGGTGTGCAAGACCAATCTCCACACTTAACAGATTGACCCAGGCTTTTAAAATCTAATGCTCAAAGTCATGGTGATGCTGTTGGAAAGCTGCATCCATTCGTTCAGATAAGAGGATAAACGTCAGATAGCAGGATGGCATAAATGCCCCGGAAATGAACTCAACAACACGGGATGCCAGAAGGGATACACTGCAGGTACAGAGAGAGAGGGGATGAAGAAAGAAAACGAAGAAGCAACAGTTAGTCCCCAACACAGTAGGAACGGGCATCCCTGCCAGGCTGGCTGCAGAAAGAGTGGCAATCCCTTAGCCGCATGAATTAATGCCCAAGGAAAAATAAGTCTTTCGAAATTCCCTTCTGTAATGAAGGGTCGAGTGTAAAAGCAGAAAGGCCAACCAAGAAAATCAGATGCTTGCTGAGTTCTCCATCCGGACAAAAAGTAGCACAGACCCTGGTGCCCGCAGCATATGGAGGAGGGGACATGTCCCTTTCCCCATTTTTAATTTGTCTTGTTCCTATATGTTTAAATATATACTATACTACTTGTTTGTTAAAATTCCAGCAGGAAGTGTTATGTGGAAGAAAGCAAATTTCCCTCTGAAATCAGGCACCTAGCAATGTAAGTCCAGGCTCCCAGATTCCAGACTATAGTTCTACTGAGCCAGTGTTTGCAGAGCCGACAGACACCCCTCCACTGACGCTGATAGAGACAGTGAGCAGGCTGCAATCAGGGCCAGAAATTTCCAACAGACACTTCATAATTAAGTCTAGAAAGGGGGGACACAGTTCTTTCCTTTTGGCAGGAAACAATATTTTTTATATTCTAAAACTATTTACAGTTCATATGGTTTCCAGGCCCCTCTCCAGAAGCAAGGGCCTCATCCCCCTGCCTGTCTCAGCGCCACACATGGGAATCCTCAGGCAGCCGGCCAGAAGAGCATTTGATTTGAAATGAAGCCTTAAAGTTAGTAGTGTGAAGGGGAAGCCAATCTGAACACACACGCCTGGAAGGGACAAGGACACCAGATGAGACCAGGGGTGAATATGAACTGTCAGCCCTACAGTTTAGGAAGCCTTGCTAAGGGGAGCAAGGTCTGTAGTACAGGCACCATGGGCCATCTCTGCCCTCCATGCCGGTGACTAGAGCCAAGCCAGCCTGGTAGTTTTAGCTGTCTGCCATGCTGTACCATTTTTCCTCCGTTGCTAAGAGTCCATTTCATTCCTCCAGCAACAGGCAGTTCCCCCATCCACGGCTCTCCTCGGGTTTCCTTATTTTAACAACTGGTCAGTCGCACCTGCCAGTCATTTTCTCAGCCAGGACATATCCCAGCTTCTCCTGTGTTTGGATCTAATCTAGAAGTCACTGGCCTGCTATAGGCGTTCTCTGGCTGTAGTAACAAATCACCCTGCATGTGTAGCCTAAAAGAGAAGAATGCTATTCTCTATGTCAGAAACTTGAAACCTGAAAGCAAGGTGTCAGCAAAAACAGAATCCCTCAAGAGGCTGGAGGAGGTGTGGGGGGGGGGAGGTCTGCTTTCCCTGATAGCTTCTGGTGGCCCTTGAGTTCCTTGCTGTGGGGCTGGGTAGCTTGAATACAGGCCTTCATGGGCACATGGTGCTCCTCTCTCTATCCCAAGAGACTTGCGGTTGAGTCTAAGACATACCGTGATCCAGCATCACCTTATCTCAACAACTTAATTATACCGCAAAAAACAATTTTCTTTCAAATAAGGCCACACCCATGGGTTCTGATGGTGGGAGGCAGATAGGCTACAAAGGCAGCAGAATATAGAATAATGGCAATTGTATCCAAAGAGAACATTGCACAGTGGAGAGAAACAGAAACAGCAAAGGCAAAGGAAACAGAAAAGTGCAACAGATGCATGAAATATGAATCACTTGAGTCTGGGAAGCAAGATCAAGAAAACGTCTATATTTTATTTATATTCTTCATTTTCTACAGTTTCTCTCCGTAGTAGACTGGCCATGTGTTAATTTAAAATTCATGGAGAAAATGAACCCATTAAGAGTATCTCGGGGAACTGAAGGCAGAATGATCCAATAATAGACAGTTTTAGTGAGGAAATGCTGGTGGGGGTAAGTAGTCAATCTTATACTATCAGGATATTGCTTTGCTGTAGACAGCCTTGAGTTCAGACTGAACAAAAGTATATTTCTCAAGTTAATATTCTTACATCCCTAAGGTCTTTGGAGTTTGGGTTTTCAAAGGGAATTGGGAACCTCAATCTATCACTTTTTGTAAAGAAGAAAAATGAGCCAAATTCCAAAGCTTACACGGGATCTGCGGCTTGTTTGACTCCCATCGTCGCCCATAATAAGGGCACTCGTTACGACAGCAATGGGGTCCAGTTGGAGCCAAGAAAGACTCAAGCCAGACTTAGTGACAAAGTGGGGTCACACATGAGCCCCAGATGCTGAGAAAAGACAATGGGCCCGCCGCACTGAACCCCAACACTGAAGGGGGAGGAGAGTAAAAGACCAGAAGACATTTCTGAGGTGGGGGAAAGTTGGAATCTCATATTGTTTGCTGAGGGGTATGGGATATGAGCCTCCTCTACAGGGGTCAACTCCTCCCCCCTCTCTGAGGCTATTGTGTGAGTGGCTCTTTGAGGGGCTTTAACAGGTCTCTGTGCTATATAAACCTGAGAAGAAAATAGGGCTGCTACTGAAGACTCCGTGTGCAGAGCTTTGAAGGGGCGATGGTTCCCTGTTATAGCAAGATGTCCTCATCTGGGGAAACAGTTGCCCTTTGGAAATTCAACCCTTAAAAATCCCACCTATGCAGCACGGTCATTGGATATGATGGAATACTGTTATAATAACTCTAACAACTTTGTGGCTTGCACACAGGAGTCAGCCCTTTGGCAAGCAGCGCCTTCTGTCCTCAAAGCTGAAAAACAGAAACTGCCCAAGAAATGAACAAGACAAGACTTTGTAAAAATGCAAGTAATTTTTTGAAGGTGAAACTTATTTTGAAATACTTTTATTATGAATTAGCAAGAAGAGGTCAAGATAAATTTTATATTTGTATTTTCACTGCATCCAAACAGCACTTCAAACTCTTCCCATGACTTTACTTTCAAATTCATTGTTAAGTTCATGAAAATACGTCTCGTTGACATTGTTTTTGTAAAACAAAATTATTCTTCTCAAGTTTTCCTTACAAATCTGCAAGCTCTTTATACAGGTTATATGATCACAATGGTATGATCGTAATGTGGTCGTATGTAATCAGAATGGTGTGACTATAATGTAATCATATGTGATAGGAATGGTCTGATCATAAGATGATCATATGTGATCACAATGGTATGACTATCAAGTGATCCACAATGGTGTGAACATAATGTGAATATATATGATTACAATGATATGACCATAATGTGATCACATGTGATCCCAATGGTGTGACCATACACAAGCAATTTAGATAGCTGGAGGTAAAAAGTACTCAGACTGTCTTCTCCCTTGTATGAACTGAAAGTCTCCATTACAATCAAAGTAAGATGATGTAACTCAGTGGAGGGTGTATCAATTCTCCCATGGGATCAAGAGTCCCAGTCTTCCATTTAGAAGATACACAGAGACATACTCAATGTGTATTATCAGCAGACATGCTAAATCCATGATGTCTGAGTTTGTTGTTACTGCAGGTCCTCAATCAGAAAGTGTAAGAGCCTATCAGGAAGCAGTATAGAAGTGGAGGAAAGAAAGAATGTCAGAGCCAGGGGATAGAGGAGATGTGCAGCAAAAAGATGTCTTCTGGGGGTGACACACCATTGCACTCATGAGCTATCTTCATCTACACAAGACTTGCACAAAATTGGGCCCCCAAAATGTTACCATAGATGGGATGGATGGTTTTACTGCTGAATTCTACAAATCTTTTAAGGAAGATTTAATACTAACACTTCTCAAACTTTTGTATAGAATAGGAAAGGAACACTACCAAACTCATCCTAGGATGCCATTATACCTCTGATGCCAAAACCAGACAAAAAGAAAACCATAAACCAATCTCCCTGATAGACACGGTCTTCAACAACATGCTTTCCAGCTGAACTCAAAGTCACATTAAGAAGATTGTTTTCCATAAGCAATATGATTTCACCCCAAGGATACAAGATACAGTCAATACAGCACATTAGTAAATACAATAAACCACATTTAATTCCTGCATTTGGGAGGCAGAAGCAGGCAGATCTTTGTGAGTGCAAGGACAGCCTGGTATGAAGAGGGAGGTCTAGAACAGCCAGGGCTACACAGAGAAAACCTGTCTCAAAAATAAACAAATAAGGAAGAAAAAAAAGAAACAAGTTCTGCTGAAACCAGGAGCAAGCAGAAGACCGTTCAGGATAAAAAAGGCTACATATGAAAAACCTATAATTGGCATTATAGCAATTCCCAGCACTCAGGGAGGCAGAGGCAGGAGGATCTCTGTGAGTTCGAGGACAGACTGGTCTACAGAATGAGTTCCAGGACAGTCAGAGATATACAGAGAACCCCTGTCTGTCTTCCATAAAAATAAACTGCCAAAGAATTAATTTCTAATAAATTATAGAAGGACAGAAATATACACTATTAAACTAGAAAGCCACCAGTCACTGAGACCTGTTTGGGAGCCCCCAGAGCTCTTACTAAAAGCCCACAGAACGAGTTTCTTACTTGCTGTTGATTAGTACTTTCGACTGCCGGTTATTCACTTGATTATCACTCCGATGACGAAACTGGAAAATCAGAATTCAGGCAAGAACATCTTAAGTCATACTTTGTCGATCCTAACAGCAACACTGGGCTCATTCTCAGTTCATCTGTTCAGACAATGTGCTATCCGTCTAATGTGAGCACAGCTTGCGCTTGCTTTGAGCAGTCTATGGACAGCTAATCAACACTCATTTCCCTACATCTCATCCTGGCAGATGCATCACCACGGAAATCCTGTGTGTGTGTGTGTGTGTGTGTGTGTGTGTGTGTGTGTGTGTGTGTGTGCTAGACCCACAACTCTAAATCCTTACACATTTCTAGTTGTTTCTAAGAAGGCAGCAATGCCATTTACCTCACAGTCCAGAGACAACCATACACAGGTTTTGAGAACTTCAACCCGGAACCAGTTCCTGTTTCTCTCACATGCGCACAAAGTCACCTCAGCATATTAGTACGCACACACACACACACACACACCCCATGAACAGGAGCGCTTTCAGGGACTTGAAGTCTCAATTTCATAAAGTTTAATAGGAGTGAGAAATTTTCCTTTTGTATTTCAAAATGAAGTGTGTGTGTTTGTACATACACGTGCACACACATGCACCACTTTCTACTGCCATCAGACCTCTTTTTCAACCTCAGATGCTATAGGTTCACTGTGTACACTGAAATGTGCTCGGCACTTTATCAGGAGACAGAAACGTAGCACATTAAGATAAGTGCGCTATCCGTATGTGTGGGGGCTGTTTTAAGCGACTCATACCAAATTGTGGGTTTGTTTTAAATTTTACATGCAACAACTGTGGGAAAACATCCCGTAAATCAACTTGGTAATTCTAAATCTTTCCCTCTGCCTCATGCTTGACTACCCTTCAGCAGCGCTGGCTGGGTTCCCACTTCCGGTTTGACACTGAGACATCAAGCTTCCTCAGGAGCGAATACCCACATAGTCGTCGGTAGCATCCTTGACAGCTGTCATGGAGATCACCAGGACCAGAGGCACGATGGTGGTGAACCAGGTCAGGGAAGAGATTTCTGGAATGAGCTGAAACGAGCATTTCCAGACATTTAAGGCATTTTAAATTGGGAAATACATCTCCCAACCTACAACACTTACATAAATAAATTGGCTTATGTTCAGCTATTTGTACAAAAGTAACCTCGCTAAAACAATTCAATTACATGCATTCAACTGCAAAACATATAGAGAAATGCCTTCCTGCCAATTTTCAGATTATCTGTGGTGTAGGAGGCCCTTCTGTGTTTGTGTTGCTTTCATTGGTTATTAAAGAAACTGCCTTGGCCTAGTTGATAGGGTGGAACTCAGGTAGGTGGGGAAGACAGAACAGAATTATGGGAGGAAGAAAGCAGAGACAGGCAGATTGCCATGGTTCTCCTGCCCAAGAGGGACGCTGGTTAGACTCATGCAGGTAAGCCATAGTCAAGTGGCGATACACATTAATGGAGATGGGTTAAACTAATATGTGAGAGTTAGCCAATAAGGGGCTGAAAATAATGGGCTTGGCAGTGTTTTAAATAATGCAATTTCTGTGTGATTATTTCAGATGTAAGCTATCAGGGTGGCTGGGACAAACAAAGGGCCCCCGTGTTCTCAATACAACAATCTGACAAAAATTAAAAATAAATAAAAACTTGAAGCTAAGTGAGAAGCCAGCTCCTGAGCTCCTTCACAGCACACATCTGTTGCTAGTCTGTTGCACATCGCTGATCCCTCGGCTTCTCTTCTCAGTTTTTAATAAGTTACCGTCTCCTCTTAATAACACTTGCCAGAGGAGCCTTTGTTCCTCACCCTTGCAAAGGTTAGACAGGTGTTTGCATCTTAATAATTGAATGCTCGGAAAACTCAATTACTTTACATGCTAGAACATTTTGTACAAAGCCATGGGTTACAAATCCACAGAACTGACAGTCCCCCAACTGAGTCCCCCGACTGTGCACACCAGAATACACTGTGAATGGTGCCCTGGTGTCAGAAGAAATAGAGCTCTTATCGTGTCCTTATTTTCCTAACCCAATTCTATAGCTCGAGCATCTAAGGCATTGAAACTCTAGCAAGAACACACACTGCTAAAATATGCACCCAGATCTCTTTGACTCCCACACTATTTCGTTGTGCCTGTATCTCTAGCACTACCACCTACAACAAACACAATAATAATCATGTGATCCTCTTAGATAAGCATTTTTTGTTTTTTTCAAATCAAATCACATTCACTTGGGATCTCCTCCAGGGCTGTTAGGCAGGATAGGGTCCAGTAGAGACTATAAATAGGTCCCATAAATAATTCAAAACTAAATCAATTTTATATAACAGATTCTGTGCAATTTTTAAACTTCAAAAAAAAATCCCTGAGGACTAAGTAACAGACACAAGCTCCAGTGTCCTACATCACACTAGGTGACTGTAGGACAAATAAGCAACCAGAATACAGGAGTTTAAGGGGCTGGGGAGATGACTCAGTGGTTACGAGCATTGGCCGCTCTTCCAGAGTACCTAGGTTCAATTCCCAGCACCCACATGGCAGCTCACAACCATCTGTAACTCCAGTTCCAGAGGCTCTAACACCCTCACACAAGCATACATGCAGGCAAAACACCAATGCAATAAAATAAATAAATAAATATTTATTTAACAAAAAGCTAGGTGCTCAAGGCTTCCCAACACAAAGAACTGACCAATGCCTGGGAATGCAGAAAGCTGCTTCCATGACTTGAAGGCACATTGTGCGCATGGTCTGAATTCTCACACTATGCTGCATAGATATAGTATGTTCTCTCGTGCTAATTAAAAAAAATAACTTTAAGAGACACAATTAGAAAACAAAACCACTGGGTGGTTCAGCAGAAACACTGGGTGGGTAGCAGAAAATCCCACCATTCTCTGCTCTTGTTAATCTGTGACTTTACCCATCATCTCTCCTCCGTGGCTCCCAGATATTCACCAATAAGTAATGGTAAACCAAACCATCTCAAATGTCCCGAATATAAAATTGTGTGAACAAAGGCCTAAGACTGTAAGCAAGAATGCCATTAGAGAAATAAATTCAAAATTCTAGAATGCTATGAACGCTCACATCAAGACTCCAAAAGCAATTCAATGACACTGTGGAGAGAAATTGGGTCTTCATTTCCTTTCATGAATAGCAGCTTGTTCATTCATCAGGCTCTTTTGGTTGGTTGGTTGGTTGGTTGGTTGGTTGGTTGGTTGGTTGGTTTTATTCGGTCTGGTCTGGTTTGGCTTGGGTTTGGGTTTTGTTTTTGTGTGTTGTTTTGTTGTGGTTTATGCACAGTCAGTATTCACTTATTCTCAACTGTATCTTTTTTGCTTAGGGAGCTTTCCAGTTCTCCAATTTCAGTTCTTTTACCTTGAGTGAGCTGACTCCATTCTGATTCAGGTTTTGACTCATGCTCAAGATAATAACTGAACCAAATTTTTGAGCAACAGTGATCAGCTTAGGAGATAGATGAAGTCAGAACTAATACCAACAGAAAAGTGATATTTTCTTCTCTCTCTCTCTCTCTCTCTCTCTCTCTCTCTCTCTCTCTCCCCCCACTTCCTTTCCTCCTTCACAGGAGCTAGACAGCTTGAAAGGTAGATTGCGAAGCTGGCAGGAATACCAGATAGGTAAGACCTGACAGTATGGAAGGAAACAGAAAGAGAAGCCATGCCCATGTCCTACTGCAGTGGCTACTGTTTTTGAATCCAGTCACACATGAAAAAAAAATAAAGCTTGGCATATATACATCGTCTGCTGAGGCTAAAAGAGATCTCTAGCACTTACCATCAAAAGATTAACACACAGAGTTTATTACTCAACACTGGTCATCTCACAGGTCTTATAAATAGCGCAACCTCTTCTGGGTCTATCAATCTGATTTATTAAATCATCCAAAACAAAAACTGATGTGTGTATAAATCTTTCTTGATATATGCCTTTTTCCTTCCCTAAACGCCAATAAAAGTTGACATTTCATTTAAGCCTGATTTTAGTTAAATGGGAAGAGGTTATTATTGACTAGTTAGTGACTCCAAACTATAAAGTCACCCTACAGTGAAATAACGTATATTAGGCATCATTTACTCTATAAACAAACACAATATTCTGTTGTTCTTGGACCAACAGGAAATTTGAAGTTCCACAACCTCTGTAATCTTAGGAACCCTGCCCTGTCAGTGTGGGAAAATTGATAGGGAAAGGAAGAAGGCCATGAGTAGCAATTGTTAAACTTCTATATGGTTCAAATAAAGATACATATTAAAATGACCTAGGTGTTTAAGCTACGATAAAGGCACTATTTTTGCTTTATTTATTCTTAGCCCTCTCTATTTTTAAGATAAAAAACAATGATAACATTAAAACTCTAATGTTATTAAAACTCTAAGAGTGGTCCTATGCAATCATGAATGTTTACTGAGTAAACTGACTTATGTTTTAGAATTATACAAGTACTTTCAACAGATAGATAATGAAGAAACACAGTGTAAAGATTACCTGTAGTATCAGGAGAAAAAGGAAATAGGCATTCGCCACTCTTTGGAACTGTTCAAATAAGTTAATTGGCAAGAATGTGAGAACGTTGTACTTGGACGTATGGATACGATTGTCCTGAAAAAGAGATAGCGTCATGTTACTTGGGACCAAGGCACTGCCCGATATGACTCTTCCACATACAAGCCTGGCGCTGCTATGCCACAGCAAGCCAGAGCAGTTAGTTATCTAGGAAGTCCTAAGCTCCACGTAGCCAAGACCATCACATCTGCCAAGAAAACACTGCCCTAACTCTAGGCAAAATGACCCAGTATCAGATCACCCATGTAGCCATGGGTTATCACACACAAATTGGCTTCTGAGATTTTTCCCTTCTTATGCACTCTTAGGTAGATATTGCAGGAGTGCCGCTGTCTTGCTTGAGTATCCCTGAGCTCGTGCTGGGGTGCACAGACTGAGGGCATTTGAATGATGATCAATCTGATCTATCACCCTTTGGGAAACTGACACTGGATTTTTTTTTAATTTTTTTTTAAATTTATTCTTTGTGTCTTTTACATCATGCATCTCCATCCAATTCATCTCCCCATCCCTTTGTATCCACCCTTTGCCCTTGCAACCTGCTTCCCAAAACAAAATAAAATAAATTTTAAGAAAAAGAAAGGAAAATCCTGTCGTGGAAGCTGCAGTGTGACCCAGTGAGTCCAAATATCTTTATTTGCCAGTGTTTCTTGCAAAGAGACATTGGTCTGGTTCGAGGCCTCTGGCTTCTACTACATCGATACTGGGCCCTCACTGGGACTCCTCTTGTTGCCCTATGTTGTGGAGCTCCTACAGTTTTGCATCTGCAGGACCTGCCCCTTCTCATGCTCCAGCAGATCACAGATGGGGTGGATGCCCTGTTTCTGGGCCTGGAGAGTAGCAGAGTTGATCACACCGCCAGCTCTCCCCTATCCTCACCACCACGGGGAGCTCTCCAGCATTGCCACTACTAGTTCACCCTATATAGCAATAAGCAAAGGGGCAAGGCTGGTTCTCTTGCTTTCATGCCCTAAGAGCCAGCTCACCCACACCTACACCACCAGGGCCAGCTCTACTGTGTTGCCCAGGAGAGGTGCAGGGGCTGCTGTCCTGAGTGCTGCAATGTGGAGGCCCAAAAATGTGAGACTATTTCAACCTTGACCAAAGGTCAGAGAGTTGGAACTTACCTCTAGTCCTTCACATTTATTGTGTTTCTACCCCAAACAAAGGTTCCACCTAGATTTAGGTGGGAGAGTTCTGCTCACTCAAGGTTATTGTCAACAAGTGTGGCTAATAGCCAGAGATCTTGAATTTCAAGAATAGAGAAGTAGATATGTTTCTACTTCAAACTAAGTCCAACTAAGTTCCAACTAAGTTCCAGTTCCCTTAAGGAGATAACTTTGGATTCCACCCAGGGAGTGGTTTGCCTACAGAAGGTTTCGGTCTAGGGTGTGAGCATGATTTGTTTTGTTCTAGCAACTGAATGTTTAATTATGGACGTCTCCCAGGACATTCAACTGGTCTGTTCATGTCCTTGTGTCATCATAAAGCAGTCTTTTGTCTTACTCCTACCTTTTGAGGCCAGGGGTATTTTAAGCAATTGGAAATTAACTGTGGGCGAATTTCAGTACTCACTGGAATTCCCTCCCGATACTATCCTATATGTTTCTCCATTTTATTACTTTCATTCACATCTTCGTATTCTTTATGCTATTTCTAAATTCCCACACCTCTACCCTGGCAAGAGGGATTTTTGTCAAGGCTGGTCCCCAACACTGCAGCTGGTGAGGGTCATGAATAGCTCTCTCACTCTTAGGACCTCAGGGCCAGCTCTCCAGCTGTCACAGGTGGTGAGGGGGGCATCTCTTCCTCGCCAACACCACCATAGGGCAGATGAGGGGTGGAGCCAGACCTCCTACACTCACTTTCTCAGGGCCAGCTCACCTGTGCCCCTATCAACAGGGACAGCTCTACTGTGCTGCCCAGGCAAGGTGCAGGGCCTGCTTCCCTGAGAGCTGCAGTTGGTAAGGGGAGGGAGATAGCTCTCTCGCCTGCCACAGATAGCAGGGTTAGGTGGGTAGGACAAGGAATTCCTACCTCTGGACATCTTCTGGGATACTTGCAAGGTAGCCTGTCCTTAGTAATGGAATTACTGGAAACAATCTTTATCTTCACTGTTATCTCTTGCTCTAAGCCAAGGCACGGGCCCTCGAGTCAAAAACGCCAAGTCTGAGGCCTTTCCTGGCGACCACATTACAATACTTGAATGCTGCTTCTCGGTGACCTTTTCTAGCTATCCCTTCCTGGCCACCCTTTGCAGAATCCACCCCAACTTCTCTACATCTGTGCTAAGATGCAGTGCCTACATCCAAATGCAAAATACAAACATGGCCAATAGCAGGGCTTTGTTATCGGGTGTTTTGAACCTGCCCTGACATTCCATTAGCGTGGTGGAAACTGCACCTCACTGTGTTTCCATATTGAGTTTAAATCACCTGAAATGACCTGAGGGTGATTAGGAGATACACTTAAAGGTAAGTGTTCCATGGTCTCCCTTGCCTCCATTTCCTGACTCAAAATCTTCAGATGTGGGTATAACCCACAGTAATCACGGAAATGGGGAAGAAACTATAAAAACTTCTATTAAATCAGTTTTCTTTCCTAAGCATTTAGTTTTAATATCAATATGAAACGTCTTTCATGTGTCCCTAAACCATTATTTTAACTCGTGTGCATTACCAAAAGCATTAAAGACGCCTTACAACTTTGTGCTGTCAGGAAGATTCAAATGCATGTGTTTTATGTGTTCTTATAAAGCTAAAGACAAATACATTAAAAAAGGACAAGTCCACAGGAAAAGAAATTATTAGTGAAACAATAAAGCCTGGGATGTAACCAATGACCTTTCAGATTGATATAGCTCTCTGTTCGGTCATTATATGACATACAAGGGGCTAGGGAGAAACTCAATTAGTAACGTGTTTGCCTTGACACACAAGGGTCTGACTTGATTCCCAGAACCCAAGTCCAAAAATAGGGGTAGGGAAAAGGTGTCGCTTGTAATCTCAGCATTGGGGAGGCAGAGACAGGCAGGTGCATGGGGCTCACTGGTCAGTGGATCTAAGCCTACTTGTCAAGTTACAATACAGTGAAAGTCCCTGTCTCAAAAATAACTGACCAAACATAGGTAGCACACATGTGCATATGTACACACATACTCTATATATACTGTAATGAATATGTTTTATTCATCTCCGTATGAATCTTTGAAAATATATTAATTTTTATTTAGGCATTTGTAAGTCCATTTATCTACATTCCCATGTAGTTTAATTCTATCTTGCCCACAAAGATAGAATAACAAGATTGAATAATAAGACATGATAAAGTCCAGAATCAATACAGCAAGGACAAAGGTCCTCCCACTCCCCAGTTAAAGCCTCCCTGTTTTTCCCTTCACATAAGCGCTCTCCTGCCGGTCTCCTCTCTAGTGCTGCCCCCCTTCCTCCCACGTTCTCTTTGCTTTCCCCATTTCCGTTGTTACTGTGGCTTATACTCACATCTAAAGATCTGGAGCCAGGAGATGCGGGTGAGAGAGAATACGCAACACTTCCCTTTCTGGATTTGGGTTACCTCACTCGATATGATACCTTCAAGTTCCATCAATTTAACAGCAGATTTTGTGGTTTAATTTTTCTTTAGAGCTGAATAGCATTTATTGTGAATTATGTATATATAAGTAACACTAAGGTTGTTTGAAAAAGTCATAAGGAATCATTATTTTATATTTACTTAATTATATATAATACACACACACATGCGTGTGTGTGTGTGTCTGTGTAGTTTAAATGAAATTATATCAGTTGGGATGATAACGGTTCCAAGACCCAAGACCCATAAACTATCTAAATAAACCAAACCCTAGCAACAGGCATAAGAAACCTCCTCTCAAGTAGTCAGTCAGGGGAGTCCAAGAGATTTCTAGAACAAACAGAGGCTATTGCTGCTTCCTTGGTTGCCTCCCAGAAGTTGAAGAGAAGTCTCTATTGCTGAAGATATCATACACTTTGGAAGCAAGACTTGGAGCTCTCAAGTTTGATCTCACCAGAAAGCCTCCTCCCTGTAGACTAGCGCTCATGGAACTGGAAGATGCTTTGCAAGCTGCTGGGGTGGGGGAACATTCAATAGTCCTACGTGAGCTATTATGCATATGAATCACATAATGGTCAGTATGGCGAGATATCTCTAAAAGCGCAATCGTAGCGCCGATGTCTTGTCGATAACCAGGAGCTGTTTAACTGGACTTAAGGTCCACAGGAGGGGAACGATGCCTGGTACTGTAAACCTAGACAACCATGCCTGGCTAGTGAGATCAGAGATCTCAGAGGAGGACATGCTGCTGCCACTTTCCTAAACCAGTACCTAAACTAGCTGCATTCTAAATAGTCATCCTTACAGCTACAGATGAGTTCACCCCTCATCAAAGAATAAATGGTGTAATGATTCAGTCACACATGGCTGACACTTCCAGGTTCCAGGGCCACCCACACATGTGTGGAACAGCCCTCCAAGAAACTTAAAGGATCCCACGTGACCTACGTGCAGCATGGTTGCATCATCTACATATGACGCAGCTATGTGAGTCCTTGCACACATTGTGAGCTCCGTCATTGGGGGATGACGTAGCCACATCATCCCGCTGTGCACATGCCCTAGGCACCTTTAAAAGCTGGTAGCGCCATCTTCAAGCTTGCTCTCTCTCTACACACTGACTTACTCAGGCCTGTACACACCCTCTAATAAACTCCTAAGTGGGTTTGTTACATGTTCCGTGTTTCCTTCTCACTCGCACCAGGTAATTTCAGATGGAGATCATAGCAGATGGAGACCAGTAGAGAAAAGCACAACTGGGATATCCCCACAATTCCTGCACCTTAGGCTCGGGAAGCAACAAGAAAACATGGTGGAAGCATTATGAGAACCAGAGGAACAGGAAGTATAGGACAAGATTGTGTCTTCTAGATACCACAGGGAAGCTACACCCATGAGATCCCAACAGTGTGGCTGCTTAAACAAGAGCTGAACAATGACAATGT